CATATGGAGCAGAGGTCCATCAGTGGCTATTAGCCACAAGGTATAGATAGGGACTCTGGGGCAAGTGATGTTCTGTCTTCTTGGTGCTTGGGGGGGTCTTCTAATGTCCTGGCCCCACTGGTGGACCTCCTGATGGCACTGGTATTTCTGGCCACTGTGTGATACAGAGTGTTGGACTGGATGGGCCTTTGGCCTGATCCAACATTGGCATCTCTTATGTTCTTATGTTCTTATGTTACAATGAACCTTTTGGCATGCTTACACTGTTTCCTAGACTGAACCAAGACATGAAAATAATGTAGCCCCTGAAAAGTATAACTAACACCCCGAGCATTTGAAAAATTTGAATTCATCTAGTCCATGATTTGGTTCCTAACAGTGGCCAACCAGATGCCCCTGGGAAGCTCAGGAACAGGACACAAGGGCAACCATCGCTCCCTCTTTCTCGCTCTTGTCCATTTTTACTGCAGCCCTCCTTCCTCCAAGGAGCTCAGGGTGGCATTGCCCTTAAGTATTTGTCCTCGCAACAGCTCTGTGAGGTACATTAAGCCGAGAGGGTGTGGCTTAATGAGTGGTCCCCCGAGTGAGCCTCATGGCAGTGTGAGGATATGAACCTGGGTCTTCCAGATCTTAGCTCAACACTCTGAACACCATACCACACTGGCATTCTGCCAGTCCTTCTCATCTCAGGGCAGTGCTGCCTTTACTTATTTCTTAGAATAATAGAATCACAGAGTTAGAAGGGGCCATACAGGCCAACCCCCTGTTCAATGCAGGATCAGCCTAGAGCATCCCTGACAACTGTTTGTCCAGTCACTGCTTAAAGACTGCCAGGGCGGGGGAGCTCACCACTCCCCGAGGCAGCTGATTGCACTGTTGCACAACGCTCAGTGTAAATGTTTTTCCTAAGATCGAGCTAGTACCTTCCCGCCCTTAATTTAAACCCATTATTATGAGTCCTATCCTCTGCTGCCAACAGGAACAGCTAGAGATGTAAAATTTCAGGAAATTTTGAAGCTTGGGAAAAAATGGAGATTTTCGGAAAAATTGAAAAAAATGCTACATTAGCATTTCTTTTGTCTTTTCTAGATTGAAAGTCATTCTGTTACTTTAGGAACATAAAATATGACTATGGACATTTTTACTTGGCATGAAATTATCTCAACTAGCATATTAAAAATATAGTGTATCCAAACAATTATTACAAACAGAATACCCACCCACATGCAAAAACAAAACTGAAACTTTTTTATTTTCTGACAAGCGCACCTCCTAAAGGAAGAAATTCATCTTGTTCTTGCATTGGAGAGTTCAGTTTGTAACCTAGGACTTGCTTGTCCTCAGTGCACAGAAATTAGATCAATCTGATACCATTATATATTTTAGAAATGATTTGGAAAATATTTGAACACCTTGTCTTAAAATATTTTATTCATCATGTTAAAATAAAACGTTCCATAATCATTTTTTTTCTTTTCTTTTTTCAATTTTTCCAATTTTTTTCCTGGCCTTCACATCTCTAGTCAGAGGTCTGGAGAGAAAGATTGAACTGAAGAAGCATAGAATATTTACTAAGGTTAAGAAGAAGAATCTTAGCTTTGCCTCTGACTCCAGATCTTTTTCTCATAGGCTTTGCTAGGAATAGCCTTTAAAATACAGATTGGATAAGGACGAGAGCCACACTCCGTGCATAAGCTTAAAAGGAAAACAATTCTAAGTTTACTGATGATCAAAGGGGAGGGGAACTTTGGAGAAAATAAAGAAAAGATACCTTAGCTAAGCAAACTACTTGTTTACAGGAAGAAAGGTAAAAGCTTAATGACAACTTCTTCCCAAACAAAGAGAGGAAATACAAACATAAAATGCCAAACATCCAATACATTGATTAGCCAATAAAGAGGTCAGAGATCACTTCATTTTATTAACCCCACTTACAAATTTTCCCAGGCTAGACTTAACTCTATTCTAATTGGTTACAGGTTAGACTACATGACATCCTGCTTAGTAACAACAACAGTTAACTCTATAGTAACTGAAGTGGAGGCAACTTGTAAATATGCCAACAGGCTTAGGTGACTCTGGGTTCTCATCTGACATCTTCTCTTCCTCAGGTATGAAGTGGACGA